ACGCCGGTCCGCACCACCCTGTGAGCTGCTCGTGTCCCACGCCGGTCCGCACCACCCTGTGAGCTGCTCGTGTCCCACGCCGGGTGAGCTGCTCGTGTCCCACGCCGGTCCGCACCACCCTGTTAGCTGCTTGTGTGATTTGAACATGAACTGAGCCTTTTTACCTTATTTTCCATCATCTGGTCATGAAATGTAAGATAATATCAGTGAACCATGTGCCGAAGATGCCTGCTATCTAGTGGCTATCAGAGAATCGCCATGGTAACGAGACAGGGACATGCCCCCTCCCCCCAGACCACGACGAGTGTGCCACCACCAACATGTGCCTCAATGGAATGTGCATCAACGAGGACGGCAGCTTCAAGTGCATCTGCAAGCAAGGCTTCTCCCTGGCCCCTAGTGGGCGCTACTGTACCGGTAGGCTGCGTCTGATATCCTCTGCATCTGTGCAGCGTGTCGTGGTGAGGTGACGTGTCTATGCTTCCCCCTCCTTCCCCGCAGACATTGACGAGTGTCAGACGCCGGGCATCTGCATGAATGGCCGCTGCATCAATTCAGATGGCTCATACCGCTGCGAGTGCCCGCCGGGCCTGGCCATCGATGTGGACGGCCGCGTCTGCGTGGACACCCATGTGCGCAGCACCTGCTACGGCGCCATCAAGATGGGCACATGCTCGCGACCCTTCCCCGGGGCCGTCACTAAGTCCGAATGCTGCTGTGCCAGCCCCGAGCATGGCTTCGGGGAGCCCTGCCAGCCGTGCCCCGCCCTCAACTCAGGTGAGCCAGCACAGTGCCTAGGGCAATGCAGTGCTTTGGTCAGTGCAGTGCCTTGGCTAGGGCAGTACAGTGCCACTGCCTTGGCCAGCACAGTGCTTTGATCAGTGCAGTGCCATGGGCAGCACAGTGCCCGTGCCTTAGCCAGTACAGTGCCCTGGGCTCTTGTGCTGGCCTCCAAAAAAACTTGCTGGCCTGTTTGAAGGCGACTTCTTAGCATCTTAACCTTTCGGTTTGGAGGCAGTTTTTACATGATCCCTGGGACTGCAGATGTTCATAGCCACCAGTGTCCCAACTTTAAGATGTTCTGAGAGGGGAGCAGCAGCCTCACTCTAGCAGGGTCCAAGCCCTCCAGCAGACCTAAAGCTAAAGACCCCTAGCGATGTTAGCACTGTTTTCCTGCTCTGTGCTGGATGGTGACCACAGTTAACCTTGCCTGCCCTCAGCTGAGTTCCAGGCCGTCTGCAGCAGTGGCATCGGAATCACAGCTGATGGAAGAGGTGAGCCCTTCATCTTCTCTCTTCGCCCACCTGTATCGAGGGTTCTGTGATTCCACTGACTCCCGTTGGTGTGAGGTTCTAGCATCTGGGTCTTTGAGGGGCCAAGTGATCCCTGTCACGTTGGGGGGCACCCAGTGAGGTTCATGTCTGTGTGCCCCCCCCCAGATATCAACGAGTGTGCCCTGAACCCGGAGATCTGCGCCAACGGTATGTGCGAGAACCTGCGGGGCAGCTTCCGCTGCATCTGCAACATCGGCTACGAGTCCGACAGCAGCGGCAAGAACTGCGTGGGTGAGTCGCGGGGAGGGGCTTTCGTCTGGAAAAGGAGGCTCTGTCCGCCTATGACACGTCTCTTTAATCATCATTAAATCTGGTCCGCCAATCGATTGATCATCCTCCAGAGTAAATTAAAACCTGTGTAAAGTCATTCCACTAATCAGCATTGAGCTCAGCAAAATTTACCAACCACAGGTCGGCAAGTTCAGGTTTTACCGTTGGCTGTTTGGCGGATTATACATATATAGTTTTTTATTATGGCTAAAAAAATCAAGTAGCCTGCTTCAGCTGAAGACCGACTTGCAAGCGGTTATTTGAGTTTGAGAACTCTGATTAAGAACAGTATTTCTCAGTGCAGTCCTCAGGAACCCTGAACGAAGCAATCGAGAACAAAAACAAACATTCAAGAATGGACCAAACAACGAAGAACATTAAATTCTGGGTATTGGTGTGCTGGGAGTCGGGAAGGAGCTGTGGATTGTCGAATGTCTGGGGGTTCCTGAGGACTGGGTTGAGAAACACTGGTATAGAAGATTAATGCATTAAGGGCTCCCACAGCCCTCAATCTGTGCTCGGTCTGTCTTCGTTTACTGGAAATGTAATGGATGGTGGACCCTGGACTCTTCCTGCAGACATCAACGAGTGCCTGGTGAACCGGCTGCTGTGTGACAACGGGCTTTGCCGGAACACTCCGGGCAGCTACTCTTGCTTCTGCCCCAAAGGTTTCGTCTACAAGCCCGACTCAGAGACCTGCGAAGGTGACCCCCCTGGCCTGCCCCCTCGTGGCTGTGCGGCGATAAAAGCGTTTCTGGGTGCCCGCCCCCCCTCCTGACGCTTTGCCGCGTTTCAGATATCAACGAGTGCGAATCCAGCCCCTGCGTGAACGGCGTGTGCCGCAACATGGCTGGCTCCTTCATCTGCGAGTGCTCCCACGGCAGCAAGCTGGACTCCACCAACACCATCTGCGTGGGTATGAGCCCCCGTCTACTGCAGCCTCCTGCCCTGGCTGGGACCCCCCCCCCCCCATGCGCTCACTGGATTTACCGGGTTCTGTTCATCCACATCACACCGTGACAAATGAACCATCACTGCCGCGCAGGCCCTGGCTCCCAATGCTGTGCTGTTGGACGGGAGGACGGTCACAAATGCGCCGTCAAAATGTGCTTTGTTGATTCTGCTTGGCGCCACCGGTAATGCATATCCACCTTCCCCCCCTTCCCAACCCCCCCGACCACCACAGACAGCATGAAGGGCACCTGCTGGCTGAACATCCAAGATGGCCGCTGCGAGGTCAATATCAACGGCGCCACGCTGAAGTCGGAGTGCTGTGCCACGCTGGGCGCGGCCTGGGGGAGTCCCTGTGAGCGCTGCGAGATCGGTCAGTGCACCCCCCACCCCCCCCACCACACACTCCAGGGCCCTGACTTTAACCCCAACCCTATTCCTAACCCATAATCGACATTCTCCTCCGCAGATACGGCCTGCTCCAGAGGCTTCGCTCGCATGAAGGGCGTCGCCTGTGAAGGTAACCGCGCCCCCCCCAATGCTTCCCAGCATGCCGAGCAAGCGGGCGCAAGGCTCTGAGCGCTTCTCTCCGTCTCGCCCGCAGACGTGAACGAGTGTGAGGTGTTCCCGGGCGTGTGCACCAATGGCCGCTGCGTGAACACGCAGGGCTCGTTCCACTGCGAGTGCGCCGAGGGACTGACACTGGACGGCAGTGGGCGCACCTGCGTGGGTAAGGGGGGGTGCCAGTGGAGGGGTTGACCTTAAATCACGCCATAAGCGTCACGTCAGCGTCCTGCAGCTTCAGTACAAGCCTGCTGGCCGAATTCCACACAAAAGCCTGATTGATGTCAGATACATAATGCAGTGTCAGCCTGCAGTGTTCAGAGTTAGCATGTTAGCGGCACACAGCATTAGCCAGGGCCTCGCCCCTCCCTCCACCCGCCTCCCCAGATGTGCGCAGTGAGCAGTGCTACCTGAAATGGGATGAGGATGAGTGCGGGGAGCCGCTGCCCGGGAAGTACCGTGTGGACATGTGCTGCTGCTCCGTGGGGGCCGCCTGGGGCGTGGAGTGCGAGGAGTGCCCCAAGGCTGGCACGACGCAGTACAAGGCAATCTGCCCTCGGGGCCCCGGCTTCGCTAACAGGGGCGACATCCTCACCGGCAGACCCTTCTACAAAGGTACTCCGCCCTGCGTCACTTACAACCTAAAAGCCGCATGCATAAATGCCAGATTCTTTCAGGTGTATTTTATTGCCGTGGTCGTACGGGTATTTATCTGACCGAATATGAAAGGAGAAGCCTAATGCTTTGTGTTTCTTAAACTGAACTAAAGACGTGAATGAGTGCAAGGTCTTCCAGGGCCTGTGTGCCCACGGAACATGCCGGAACACCATCGGCAGCTTCAAGTGCCGCTGCAACAGTGGCTTTGCCCTCACTATGGAGGAGAGGAACTGCACAGGTAAGTGGAAGAGCCCTACCCTCGGCCCATGCCCTACCCCTGCACCCGGGTCCCTCCGCCCCTGTGATCTTGACGCCCCTTGCTCTCTCACGCCCCCCCCGTAGACATTGATGAGTGCCGGATCTCCCCCGACCTGTGTGGCCACGGCACGTGCGTGAACACGCCGGGCAGCTTCGAGTGCGAGTGCTTCGAGGGCTACGAGAGCGGCTTCATGATGATGAAGAACTGCATGGGTGAGTCCTGTGCGCAATGCGGCCTGCTCCGCTGCATCTAGGCTGATGTCATTTTAACTGCATTACTGCTCTTGCCCTACCCAGACATCGACGAGTGTGAGCGCGACCCCCTGCTCTGCCGCGGAGGCACCTGCCTCAACACGGAGGGCAGCTACGAGTGCGACTGCCCCCCAGGGCACCAGCTCAGCCCCGAGGGTTCGTCCTGCGAAGGTGAGTCCAGGGTTGGCTTATCGCGGTGCGTTATTGCTGCCCTCCTGTAGAGGGCCCAGCTCATCGTGTCTCCGCTCTTGGACAGACGTCAATGAGTGCCAACTGAGCGACACCCTGTGCCGGAACGGCCATTGCGTCAACATGGTGGGCACCTACCAGTGTTCCTGCGACACGGGCTACCAGACCACCCCCGACAGGCAGGGCTGTGTTGGTAAGTGTCGCCCTCCTGCCCGCCCTCTCCCGACGATAGGCCCTGGATACCTGACCGCTGGCCCTTTTCAGACATCGACGAGTGCACTATCATGAACGGCGGCTGCGACACCCACTGCACCAACTCGGAAGGCAGCTACGAGTGCAGCTGTGGGGAAGGCTACGCCCTCATGCCCGACCTGAGGACCTGCGCCGGTGAGTGGCGGGGCCGCGGCCGAGCAGGCCTCCGGGGAGGGACCATGGCCATCTCAGCACACGAGCTCACATCACTCCCTCCCCCCCGCAGACATCGATGAGTGCGAGGACACGCCGGACATCTGCGACGGCGGCCAGTGCACCAACATCCCCGGCGAGTACCGCTGCCTGTGCTTCGACGGCTTCATGGCCTCCATGGACATGCGGACCTGCATCGGTGAGTGAGCTGCACCCCCCCCCCCAGCCAACCCCACCCCCGTTGGCCCTCCCAAGAGACACCTCTCAGAGAGATTTGCACGTCCCCAGATGTCAACGAGTGCGAACTGAACCCCAACATCTGTCTCCATGGTGACTGTGAAAACACCAAGGGCTCCTTCGTCTGCCACTGCCAGCTGGGCTACTTTGTCAAGAAGGGATCTACGGGCTGCACGGGTAAGGGGGGGTCCGTCATGGAGGGGGTTACATCACCCTGGTGCACCTGACCAGAGGGACATGGGAATACTTTTATTACAAACAGAGGAAGGGCAGTATTACTCATTTACACCTAGGATTCAGAGGTATCTTGTAGGATACTTCCAGGCTTATGAAGGATCTGTGATTCCAAACCATCATTCCCATTACCCCCCCCACCCCCCCACCTTGCCCGGGGCTGTCTGTCCCTGCGTTTGCCCCTGCAGATATCGACGAATGCGAGATCGGGGCCCACAACTGCGATGTGAACGCGGCCTGCATCAACGTGCCGGGCAGCTTCAAGTGCCGCTGCCGTGATGGCTGGGTCAGCCTTGGCACCAAGTGCGTGGGTGAGTGTGGCGGCAGCCGTGGGAGGGCAGGGCGGGGCCAGGAGTGCCCGACGAGCTTCGGACGGGAGGTTGAGCCCGCTGCCGTGTCCGCCTCTCCTTGCAGACCTGGATGAGTGCTCCACAGAGGAACACAACTGCAACCCCAACGCCAACTGCATCAACACGCCAGGCTCCTACCGCTGCACCTGCAAAGAGGGCTTCAATGGCGACGGCTTCTCCTGCTCAGGTTGGCCGCTCTGTCCCCATCATCAGCAACACCATCCTGCTTATAGGAATGCTTATGTCTGTCCTGGCTGCCGTTCACGTTCAGCACCCTAAGGGCGTTACGCCAGCTCCCTGTCAGTGACCAGCCTGTGTATCCTCACCCCCTCCTGGCAGACATGGACGAGTGTGCGGACAACGTGAACCTGTGCGAGAATGGCCATTGCCTAAACGCGCCAGGCGGGTATCGGTGCGAGTGCGAGATGGGCTTCACCCCGACCGAGGACAGCAAGGCCTGCCAGGGTAGGAGCAGCCAGTAGTCGCGAGTGAACATCCCCCCCCCCCCTTGCAGATGGCTTGGATAGACATGGATTCATTCTTTAACCACCCCCCCCTCCCCCAGACATCGACGAGTGTAACTTCCAGAATATCTGCGTATTCGGAACCTGCCAGAACCTGCCGGGCATGTTCCGCTGTGTGTGTGACGATGGCTATGAGCTGGACCGCAGTGGGGGCAACTGCACTGGTGAGACACTCCGATCTTCAACCGTATGTAACCATATGTAATGCAGGGCTCCCTGGGGGTGAGGCAGAGTGTTATCCATCTGAGAAATGGTGTCAGATGAGTGCAAACACCCATCTAGAAAATAAACCACTCTCCCTAACCATAACACGTCCCTGTAGAGACCCCGGAGTGGAAATGGCCACTGCACTTACGGCCACAACATGAGTCACCACGAAGCTGTCGGCGCCGGCCCTCATATATCAGAGCAGCCATGTCTGTCAGTAGACCGCGCTGAGGATCCCCATCCTTTCAGGGGCACGATGACTTATGTGTGCTTCTGTATGGCAGATGTGAACGAGTGCTCCGACCCCGTCAACTGCATCAATGGCCTGTGCGTCAACATGCCAGGAAGCTACCTGTGCAACTGCCCGCCGGACTTCGAGCTGAACCCCACTGGCGTGGGATGTGTGGGTTAGTGCGCCGCCCTTATGGTCACTGTCATGCTCTTGTCACAGGTCATAGTTTGTACTGTCAATACATTTACACAACTTTCAGTACTCTTCTAAACACTTAGGGCTGCTGCTTTGAATATCAGTTGAAGTGTTTGCGCCTCCTACCTTTCAGATACACGTGTAGGAAACTGCTTCCTGGACACACTGCCACGTGGAGATGGAGGGATATCCTGCAGTGCGGAGATCGGCGTCGGGGTCACGCGGGCATCCTGCTGCTGCTCACTGGGGGGGGCTTGGGGGAACCCTTGTGAGCTGTGCCCACCGGTCAACACCAGTATGTACGCCGATGGGGAACATGAAGTCAATACCCACAATGCAGTGATGAGATACAAATAATGCAGTGCTGTTATACATATATGGAGGCACAGTGGCCTTTTAGAACAGCTAGAAGCTGTTATCTAAAAATATGTGCAGTAACCAGTGGAAAACGTGCATGAAATGAGAAGGAAACATACAGGAATGATCTAAAGAGGTAAAGCACAAGTATGCCTGTCTTTCTGAAGCGTACCAGTGTTTCTTACTTCTTACCATATTGCAGTGTTTCTATTTTGAGACATTTGATTGGACTGGCCTTGCTTTTACCGCTGGTTGTGAACATTCTGAAATGGTTTCCCTTTTAGCGGAATATAAGACCCTGTGTCCCGGAGGAGAGGGGTTCAGGCCCAACCCCATCACTGTGATCCTGGAGGGTAGGTCTGCGCCTTCGTGGCCCACCTCTCCAGTCTGGTAGCAGGCCTTGTGTTTTGCACGTGACACCACGCAAGTGTCTGCTTTGCCCTGACCTGGCCTCTTCGTTTGCTGGGGTGGGGCAGATATCGACGAATGCCAGGAGCTGCCCGGCCTGTGCCAGGGGGGCAACTGCGTCAATACCTTTGGGAGCTTCCAGTGCGAGTGCCCGGCCGGGTACTACCTCAACGAGGAGATGCGCATCTGCGAGGGTGAGCCAAGGCCACGGGGGGCGGCGAGACCAGGCGGTTTTAGGCAGAACTCAAGATCGAAGGATATTTATTTTGCTTTAGCGGATAAGTCATGCTGAAAATAATTTTCCTCTCTTTTGGCCAATCTAGGTCAATATTCCCCATTGACTTTCATTAGCAGTCTGTGTTGATAAATCTTAAGCAGGCAGCGTGAGTGTAACCGTCCGCCTTTGGTGCCGGACCCTAATCGGCTCTGTTCCTCACCGTCCTGGCAGACATCGACGAGTGCACAGCTCACATCGGCATATGCGGCCCCGGAACCTGCTACAACACCCTGGGCAACTACACCTGCGTCTGCCCCCCCGAGTACATGCAGGTCAACGGGGGCAACAACTGCATGGGTGAGTGAGCCCTGGTTGTAAGCTGGCGGGGGCATAAGAGGGGCCACAATTCACAAGGAGGAGCTAATGTTATTGTTAGCCAATGATATGTCAATCGGTGAGTGACAGGGGAGGGGGTACCTGATGGCCAGTCAGCTTTCAGGGGGGGCAGTGCCCCGGTATATATATCCCTGTCTGGTTAGCCTCTCTGGAAGGAGGTTGTACGGTTCAGGTTCACACAGTTTCCAAACCCTAGGTGATGTCTTCAGGATGGATGTGTGAGCTTAGGGTCTCGTTGCATCATGTTCCTCATTGTGTGGTAACATTTGACCCGTCTGCCGCAGACATGAGGAAGAGCGTTTGCTACCGCAACTTCAACGACACCTGCGAGAACGAGCTGTCCTTCAACATGACCAAGAAGATGTGCTGCTGCGCCTACAACGTGGGCAAGGCCTGGAACAAGCCCTGCGAGGCCTGCCCCACCCCAGCCACCTGTGAGCCCCTCCCCCAGCATGACCGACCACGGGACCCCGGCGTTAGCGCGCCCTAGGCTATACCGTGCTAACCTTAATGCTCTCCCCACAGCGGAGTACCAACACTTGTGCGGAAACCAGGCTCCCGGCTTCATCATTGACATCCACACTGGGAAGCCCATTGGTAAGAAATGATTCATTGGTGCCTCCCCATGTGACTCCATGGTTAGGCTTAGGGTTGCTCTCTCAAAGCGGACCCATATATTTTTTTTTCATTGATGGTCACTGTTAAAAGTTCCTTGTGGAGTTGCTGCCCAGGATCTGGGATGATGGAGCTGCAGAATGGCTGATATGTAGATCATCTTAGCAGCCTATGGGGTTTTTGCTGGTGACGGGAATCCCCGTGGCCATATCTGAATGTGTTTGATATTCTTCTGCTTTCTTCGAGATGTTTTTTGCAGTCGGTGATGTGCTTTGCTCTTGGTAAAGCGTCCTGGTTAAGGCAACGTGCCGTCTCTCTACAGACATCGACGAGTGCAGGGAAATCCCAGGCATCTGCGCAAACGGGGCCTGCATCAACCAGATTGGCAGCTTCCGCTGCGAGTGCCCCATGGGCTTCAGCTACAACAACATCCTGCTGGTCTGCGAAGGTGAGGCCCCCCTGCCTGGGTGACGTTGGGCTCCCTCGACCCGAGCTCGCTGCTGACGGCGGCACTGATCGGCTCTCGCCTGCTTCCCAGACATCGACGAGTGTACCAGCGGGGACACCCTGTGCCAACGCAATGCCAACTGCATCAACATCCCAGGAAGCTACCGCTGCGAGTGCTCGCCCGGGTTCAAGCTCTCCCCCAGCGGCGCTTGCGTGGGTCAGTCCATCTCCCGCCTCGGAATGGGGGTCGCACCATCTTCGGCATGAAGCGGGGGGGGGGGCTTGATGTTGGTCACTGATGTTGTTCCGTCCTCGGGCCCCATGCCTGTCCCCTCCCCAGATCGAAATGAGTGCCTGGAGATCCCCAGCGCCTGCAGCCACGGGGAGTGCATCGACACTCAGGGCAGCTACCACTGCGTCTGTCATAACGGCTTCAAGGCCACTGCAGACCTGACCATGTGCATGGGTGAGTGACCATGGTGATCCGTCATCGTGGTCAAGCCAAACTGCTGCAGGATCTTTTCTTGTTTTCATATTGGATACATATGTTCCCTTCAGCTTCGGAACAGTTTATTTTGATAGTAAAAACGTCATAGCTCCTGATCGCCGAACCTGACGTGAAACAGCAGGTATCTGAGTGAAGCTAAACCTGCCTGTTTATATCAGCCCAGTCAGCCAAGTGACATTTTTGGGTTGATGGTCGGGCTGCGGCAATCCCTCAACTCCCTCTCTGCTCTGCAGACATCGATGAGTGCGACAGGCAGCCCTGTGGGAATGGCACCTGCAAGAACACCGTGGGCTCCTACAACTGCCTCTGCTTCCCCGGGTTCGAGATCACGCACAACAATGACTGCATAGGTGGGTGCGTTGCTCCCGCAGTGTCGACTCTGTAAGGAGACAGGAGAGGGTCCTTAGACAGCGAGGGGAGTCTCTCAGAAAGATAGGAGAGAGTCTTCAAACAGACAGGAGAGAGTCCTCAGACAGACAGGAGTGAGTCCTCAGACGGAGGAGAGAGTCCTCAGACAGACAGGAGAGAGTCCTCAGACAGACAGGAGAGAGTCTTCAGACAGAGGAGAGAGTCTTCAGACAGAGGAGAGAGTCCTCAGACAGACAGGAGAGAGTCCTCAGACGGAGGAGAGAGTCCTCAGACGGAGGAGAGAGTCTTCAAACAGACAGAAGAAAGTCTTCAAACAGATAGGAGAGAGTCTTCAAACAGACAGGAGAGAGTCCTCAGACAGAGGAGAATGTCCTCAGAGAGACAGACTCTTACTGCTATCACCAGGGTGCTTTTTTCCATAAGCCTCACATTTATGGCCCTTTCCAGATGTGAATGAGTGCACGGCACTGGTGGGCCAGGTCTGCAGGAACGGCCAGTGCATCAACTCTCCAGGATCGTTCCAGTGTCTGTGCCAGGATGGTTATGAGCTCACTCTGGATGGCAAGAACTGTGTCGGTATGGCTGCCCTTTACTCACATACATAAGCATCAAACACACACACAGCTCATCGTGTTTCTGAATCATGTGGGAAAGCCCAGACACACTCAGGTAAGCCTGGCATTGCTGCCCCGCAAGCCACAGCGCCTTCCAATCAGTCACATCCTTTTTAGAAACATTCATTTGCTCCTCTGTTTCTGTGTCATCCTTGTGTTGGGTCACCTGACCTCCTGCCCCCTCTTTCAGACATTAACGAATGTGTGAGCTTCCTGGGCACCTGCGCCCTGGGCACCTGCCAGAACCTGGAGGGCTCCTTCCGCTGCATCTGCCCTCCAGGCTACGCCGTGCAGAACGACCAGTGCATCGGTGAGGACCCGCGGCTCGAGGGGCGCCCTGGAGGCCGAACGGTCACAGAAAGCTGTGTGCCACCAGGACCCTGCTGAGGAAAACATGGCAGAAAAGCAGCTTTGTCCTTCTCTGCCCTCTGACGTCCCTTCCTCCCTCACCCTCAGACATCAACGAGTGTGAAGTAGAGCCCAACATCTGCCAGTTCGGCACCTGCTCCAACACCATGGGCAGCTTCCAGTGCGAGTGCGAGAAAGGCTTTGTGCTGTCCGAGAACGGCCGTCGCTGCTTCGGTGAGAACCACTTCACATTTGGAGCCGGGGGGTACATTCTGATTGCAGATATCTGCCCCCAAAGGTGCCCACTTTGCAAGAAATACTATGGCAGTTTTAGAGAAGACTTGTGCCACAGAGTGATGTTAACTCAAAAGTCACTGTGATACACATGAATCACAGCTCCTGCCCCGCCCATTCCTGTCCCCCGGCCAATCACGCGCACTATCTCTCTTCTTCAGATATCCGTGAGAGCTTCTGCTTCACTCGCTTCGAGGGGGGAAAGTGCTCTGTGCCAAAGGCCTTCAACACGACCAAAGCCAAGTGCTGCTGCAGCAAGATGCCCGGCGAGGGCTGGGGCGACCCCTGCGAGCTGTGCCCGCGTGAGACCGAGGGTGAGGGGCCTGTCCTCGCCAGCCTCGCCCACTCAGGGAAGTGCCATTCCCCCATTTTTTGGGGACGGGAGCCCTAATCCTTTGCCCCCTCCCCTGTCTCTCTCTTGCAGCTGCCTTTGACAGCCTCTGTCCCTACGGGCACGGAATCGTGCTCGGACCTGGCGAAGCCCGTGAGGGTGAGTGAGGAATCCTGCTCACATGCGCCCCCCTGTGGGCATGTCCTCCAGTGTCAGTGTTCAAGGTTCCTTATTTGCCTTTTGTACATCAGCACTTAGGAATAATTATTCGCACTGGTCAGTCAGTAACACAGAACGTCTGGCAGGCTTAGATGGCACAGAACGCGACAAAGGGACTCGCAAATATCAAAGCAGGCATGTGACTAGGTATTGTAGAGGCACATATTTCTGAAATAAATGTAACATAAATCGAAGAAATTGCTGACGCCACCCCCGCCCCCCCCCCTCCCATGTGCCCTGTGCATCTCAGACATGAACGAGTGCCTGGATAACCCGGACATCTGCACCAACGGCATGTGCATCAACACAGACGGCTCCTTCCGCTGCGAGTGTCCCTTCGGCTACAGCCTGGACTACACGGGGGTGAAGTGTGTCGGTAAGTCAGGACGCCCCAGGTCACGCCCCAGCCCTCGCTGTGCCTCCACAACCGCCACGCCGCTGTGACCCGTCCCCCCCGTCCTCTCCGTCCTCAGACACGGACGAATGCTCCATCGGGAACCCCTGTGGCAATGGCACCTGCACCAACGTGGTTGGCGGCTTCGAGTGCGCCTGTCACGAGGGCTTCGAACCCGGCTCCATGATGACCTGCGAAGGTCGGTGGCACTCACGCTTACACATCCCTCATTACCAGGCACCCAAGCCGAAAGCCGCTTAATAACCAACCCCTCCACCCCCCCCCCCATCAGACATCAACGAGTGCTCCCTGAACCCGCTGCTCTGTGCGTTCCGCTGCGTCAACACCTTCGGCTCGTACGAGTGCACCTGCCCGGCGGGCTACGTGCTGCGCGAAGACCACAGGATGTGCAGAGGTGAGAGGGCGCCCCATCGCCATGGGAACATCGGGCATATGGTCTGTCGGGAGGGGGCGGGGCCACACAGCAGCCTGGAGTTGGCTTCAGTGGAAATAACTGCATTCCATAGATCAGATGCAAAAGTCTTAGGCAGTCAAAAGAAATGAAAGCTGATTATCTGGATAGCAAGTGTCCATTTGCTCTGAGCAAAAACACATTTTGACACTAGAATTTATGCAAATTAAGATTAACACAATGAAAACTAACAGGAAAGTCTTCTGTTCTCCAAAAAGTGACTGATACCAAGTTGGATAGGTAGATGGACGCCAATTCAGGTCCCAAACCTGTCCTCATGTGGTAAATTTCACCCGCAGCTTATTCAAAGTTTTTAAAGTCGATATTGATTAGCTATACGAGGTGTCAAAAATCATGGGTGTATTGGGTGGTTGCTGTAAATGCTGAGGTGATTATAGGAGAGGTTTGAAATGGTTTAGCTAACACACTTTTACAAATATGATATAGTTTTACACAAACGTGAAGGTCATTTAAACATAATTTTCTTTGACTGCCTAAGACTTTCGCACAGTACTGTATATATAAATGCCAACTGGATATACACACTTTAGCATCCACAGGTACATAAATGCAGTGCATGATGCAGTGCGGTTTAATCAGTNACAGTACTGTATATATAAATGCCAACTGGATATACACACTTTAGCATCCACAGGTACATAAATGCAGTGCATGATGCAGTGCGGTTTAATCAGTCCAGCTAGGAGCATCAGTGAATGACACAGAACTGTATATATAAATGCCAACTGGATATACACACTTTGGCATCCACAGGTACATAAATGCAGTGCATGATGCAGTGCAGTTTAATCAGTCCAGCTAGGAGCATCAGTGAATGACACAGTACTGTATATATAAATGCCAACTGGATATACACACTTTAGCATCCACAGGTACATAAATGCAGTGCATGATGCAGTGCGGTTTAATCAGTCCAGCTAGGAGCATCAGTGAATGACACAGAACTGTGTATAACTATCTTCAGTGTGTCACTCGATTCTGTATGGGAGTCCACTGCAGGGCTACCGTAAGGGGGGGGGGGGGGGGGGGGGCC